GGATAAGAAACAAAATAATATATTTAAACGCAACGGGCTTCTAGCATGTGTTTATCCTAATGTTGAGTCTTTAATTATTATTAACAAGTTTATAACTTTTTTAAAAAAGAAAAAACAAGTTTAAAACTTAATTTAGAAAATTAAAGTGATATCATGTACGGAGCATCATGGGGGTGTGTCCCTCTTCAATAAAAACACAAATATGATCCAATGAAAATGATATTTTGTATGAAAATTGCATAAAAAACAAAAATCATGCAAATAGTTGGAATTAGTGGAAAAAGGGGAAATCAGAAAGAGAGAAAAATATGAAAAAGTAAATGTTTATAATAATAAAATGTTTAATTTTATATACTGTTAAATTAAACAAAATACATTTTAGGTCTATAAAAAATTTGATAAATATAATTTTAAAGTAATTATTTTGTTCCCCTAAAAAAAGTAATTATTTCCTAAAAATTGATATTTTTTTATACCAGAATTAATAGACATAACATACGTAACTATTTAAATTAAATAACCATAAAAACTCTTTACACTCTCAATCAATGTATGTACTGATTGATCAGTAATAAATCTTAAAATTTGAATCATAAAACTTATTAGTACATCACACCAGTCAATAGTCAGTTAACTAACTCAATTATATTCTTATACATTGTTTTGTATATATTAGTAAAAAGAGGCATACAATATTTATTTTTTAAGCTAAATTTCTCATGCGATTGTTACAAGGATTGTTTTTAGTTTACCAAAAATCTTAGTTTCTCATTTTTAATTTATATGCTTAAAAAAATATTATTTTTGGAATTGTTTTCTAATCTATATTCCCCACAAAATTGTTTTTTATGAGTTAAGTAATAACCTAACATTTCAGAGTTAAATAGAAAATTTTATTCTAATAAAGTTATCATATTACCTTTATTTATATATTTAATACAGTAAAAATCATTAATTTATATACCGTGTATGGCACTTGTCTTAAATATTACTTACACTCAAATAATTTAAAATATATTTTTTCTCTCTTATCGTATTTTTCTTTTTCTCGAATGGATGTATACCATTTTCGTTACAAATAACCTTTATAAAAAGAAGGCTTAAATATGTTTTTAATCTCTTAAATTTAGGATAAATATGTTTTTGGTTCCTCAAATTTAAAATTATTATTTTTAGTTCTTGTAATTTCAAAAAATCTTATTTTGATTCTTATATTCAAATTTTGTTAAGAAATTTATCAAACATTATTGCATAAAATCTACCTGTTGATGTCCCTATTAGTAAAAATATCACATTAAATCCGATTGATATTGCATAACTGTCTTAATTAGTCACTTTCAAACATGTTATTGGTGACCTAAGGGATTAAAACAAAATTTTTAAAAATTACAGGACTATAAATAACAGTTTTAAATTTGAGGAACCAAAAACAAATTCATCTTAAATTTGAGGGACTAAAGACATATTTAAGCTTAAAAAGAAATAGCACCAACTAAAACAATTAAGTTAAGAGTGAAAAGCAAAAAACTTTAAAAGATATTATTAAAAATAAAAACTTGAAAATGCATTTGACATAAAAATTTCTATAAAATATAATAGTAGATGAATGACTTAAAGATTACTTTCTTTCTTTCCTCAAAAAATTACTTTCTTTATATTCTTTCAAAGAAAAAAAATTGTAAAATAATTAGGGAGCAATCCCGTTATGACCAACCAAGAGCGTTACCTGTACGGAATGCCTCAAACACAAACCGAACCCGTGATACAAGAGGTTCAGCCTAATACCGACCATGCTCAGCCCGACCTCCAAGACGACTTGCGCGCATTGCGCGAAGAAATGGCCGCTATCCGAAGACAAAGAGAAG